GCACAACCCTCCTGAGACCCTGGAGACATCAGGCAGAGAACCCAGAGCAACAGAGTATGTAGCTTCATATTATTCTGCATTGCTGTAATATTTATTGCTGAGATTTGTAGTTCTCTCTAGCTGATGCAGTTCTGCATTGCTGTATAATGGTATTGCTGGGAATTGTAGTTCTCTATAGCTGTTGGTAGTCATTATTGCTGGGATTTATAGTCCTCTATAGCTAATGGTATTCTGCATTGTTGTGTAATGTATTGCTTGGAATTGTAGTTCTCTATAGCCAATGCCATTCTGCAATGCTGTACAATGTATTTCTGATATTTATAGTCCTCTATAGCTGGTGGTATTTTTCTGCATTGTTGTATAGTGTGCTGACATTTGTAGTCCCTCTACAGCTTAGAGTTAGTGGCAGAACTACCAGGGTCACAGCAGTCGTACACTGACGAGGCATCCCTCCACTACCAGTGTGCTATAATTTTCCTTAACCCATTAATTTCTCTACCTCGTCACTTCCAGGTGTGCATGTCATGAGGAAAGGGGGTCATGAAAATAGCTGATTGGGATGACTCGGCCCCACTGGAAGTGAAACAGTCGAGAAAATGTATAGGATCGAGAAAAATTATACAACACTGACTTTGACACTGTCCGACCCCTCCCACTAACCTCCCATAGCTCACAGCTCAGGAGCATGGACAGCCAGCGGCGGTCTACAGTGGGTGAAAGTGCCTAAGTAGTGGACATGGAGGAGTAAGGCCAGAACCATGTAGGGAGCCCAGTGGAAGGAGAGCACCATCCCCTAGCCAATCACCCCTTTCATGGACTTACCAGGAGTCCTCACATCTCCCGACCATTCACACTACCGTTGCATGGATGGTAAAAGTGGCAGACGGGCGGGAAGAATGCTGGGAGGAGGCCAAGTTGCTGCACTATGGGCCTCTGGGATGTACTTGCCCCCTGGGCTAAAAGTTGCCAGTCAGCCCCTGCTACTAGGGCTGCAACAACTAAATAGATTATAAATCGATAATGAGAATCATTGGCAACGATTCTCATAATCGATTAGTTGATTTTCGATTAGTGCCGCCGATCTGCTCCTCCGTTCTAATCCCCACTGGTGTTGGCTGCAGCTGTCTGTGTCCCTTTCAATCCCCGCCTACGTCGGCAGAGGGAGCAGAGACGCAGACCACTGCAGCCAGCACCAGCGGCGAGAGAGAATGCGGTGACTCTGCAATCCC